AAGCCTACCTGGAAAAGCGTGACGCTGGCCCTTGCGCGAAAAGCGTGACGCTGGCCCTTTGCGCAGTGCGCGGCGCACTGGAAGCCTACCTGGAAAAGCGTGACGCTGGCCCTTGCGCGAAAAACGTGACGCTGGCCCCTGCGCGAAAATAAGCGTGACGCGGGGTCCTTAAGCGAATGCGCGGCGCACTACTAACCGCATGAAAAATATACTAATCTTTACCTACTTCGTTACTCTGGGACTTTGATTAGTTTTCTATCCTTTAAAATGCCATACGAAGGCTTAAAGAATAGTGTTCTACTATAAGAAGACCGGTCGCAAAGCCTATAAACGACTTACGACGAAGACACGTCCCTCTACCTTATTTTAGGACCCACCGATCCGAAAGCCCCTGCCCCAGAATTCTACGCATTTCTAGAATAATTCGAAGGCTACCTAGGTGGTCTATTCGTCTATGGAAGACTAGTCGTATTTCACACCGGAATAGACCGCGTAAACTGGACCCCCTACCTACTTAACGTAAACGAGATAAGTACATTTACCGAGTTCTAGAAAGGAAAGAAGTATGGTAAACGAATATAGCTCGGACTGTTTACGACGATAGTGGAAAGCACGGTGGCTGCCAACTAGTAGGACTAGGTGTGGCACTGCTGGGGAGTTGTAGTTATTACGGGTAGTAAAGGTAGAGGCAAGCACCTGCTTATCTACGACTGCGATCCGGTGCCAGACGCGGCTTCAAAGCGACGAAGGGATGTTCTACTCGGCTATTAACAACGACTCGTGGCCTTTGCAGAAGCCCAGGCGACACTACTAGGAGTTTGGTACAACACCGACGACTTAGGCATAGGACAGAACCGATGCGTCACACACACCTGCGAGTGGATAAAAAGAATGGTTATGAGCGGCGATAGACCGCTAGAAGACGACGACGAACGGATTTAGAATTACATTAGGTTAGATAGACGCTAGACTTTTTGCACTTCCTAGTAGCGTTATGTTGACCGTAGTCAACATCTTTCATTCAATTTTAATCCGTTTGATCCGTTGTATGAATTGTGTTACTTTTTAAAGAAGTCTAATAGCGCAGTGGATGTTGACCGTAGTTAATATCGTAGGCATAACTTCATAAACAGCCAACCCCCAAGACAATTATTTCCCGCCCGAAAATGAAGAAGAAAATGAAGAGGATTTCGCACCCTTGTTAGTCCGAAGGACTATCCATGTTCCCAGAGAAGTGAGGAGTGTTCTGACGAAAGAGTTTCGGGTTAATGTTGGAGCCGATAAACTAATATATCTTACTGCTGCTTAGCATACCCCAGTTGCTTATCGGTACTGTTGTAAAGGTCTTGTTGGGATCACGCTGAACGCTAGACACGCTAGACGTATCGTTGGGCGTTAGAGGTGTTTGTCGCTGTTTAGAAGAACCCAACCCCGGTGATCGACGAAGAGGTTCTGAGGGACCCGGCGTAGGCGATAAGCGCAACGGCTTAAGCAGACCTGATGTAGACGATGATGATGATGATGATGATGATGATAGATGTGGCGACTTAGAAGAGCCCGGCGCAGGATGAGAGGAATCGGAAGCAGCCAACTCGCTAGTACGTCTTCGCTTATGAGTAGACTGTGTCGCTGGCTGGTCCTTTGACGCATCTCGTGACACGAAAACACGCTTAGGGCCTTTCGGAAACTTCTTGCTAGACGCTGATGTTGCCATTAAAAGCTGAAGGGCATTAGGCCTCTTCGTCTGATCGTACGAGGCCTCCGATTCTTCTGTTATTTGTAGAGATTTATTAGCAACAGCTTTACGTCGATTGCAGGCGTTGTTGACTAAGGTCAACCTTTTTTTTAAGCTACACCATTCTGGCCTTGGCCTTATCTGGCCTCACTTTGGCCTCACTTCAAGAGCGGTTTATACCGTAGTATAAGTCGAGTATGGAGCGCGCTTAGGTTCTTTACTTATATTTTCGGTAGAAGAAGCCGGGATTTAGGTGAGAAACTCGTATCTTAGGTGGGTAGAGTGCTATAAAACTCGTAGATGAGGCAAGAGAAAGTGAGGTGTATCGTGAAGAAGGCTAAGAAGGTGACGAGATTAATTTATATACATTATAAAAAATTTGTTGACTAAGATCAACATAACCGGTAGAGAGATATAGAAAGTAATAAAAAAAGAGCAGTAAACGATTATAATAAAGGTTGAAAAAGAGACATTTCGATCTCGTAAAGAAATTCTGCAACAACCTGATTAAAAATAGAATTTAAATGAAAATCCTTTCGCCGGTAAATAATCGACTTATCTTGATAGTCATCCAGCTGACCCCAATCCGATTTTCTCCATTCGTACTGAGTATTAAGATCACCATTTTTAAAAGCGGTTTGGAGCGCCCGCTTTATATTAGGTGTTAAAGTGACTCTCGTCCACGTTTTATCGGTGGAGGATTGGCTTTGAAGTTGAAAGATATGCCTACGACTAGGCTTCTTAATATGCCAAATGTCCCGAATGATATCTCGTAGTAGAGACTCAGGTAAGGCGGTAGTAATGAAACCGATAGCGTATATCGGTTGTATTCCTTGTCGCCTCGGTAGTAACGAATCGAACGTGAACTGAGGAACCGCAAGAAGATAGATGGAGGCCTTTGTAATAAGCCGTTCGTCGAATTTCTCGATAGACATGGTGGGGAGTTTATCTTGTAATATGGCTCGAAGCTTAGTAGTTAGTCGGCGAAACGGCGTACTTTTCCATTTAGGTGTTATCGAGACATCGAATAGATGCCTTATCTTCTCTTTCTATGTTCCGTCGTTTACCGGAAACCGTTGAGACCCACGCCGGGGTTGTCGACGCGCTAATACATGCCGCGGGCTATAATTAAGCAGCCGTTCGAGTATTTTAAGTGACAAACCACAGAGCCCGTCCATTTCAGAGTCCGAGAGATTCTGCCCGAAGCGGCCGATGGCTAGAAATTTATCCCGTTTAGAAGTTTCGTTCTTAGAAGGGAAGTAGTAGTCCAAGCTACTATCTGAACGTTCGGCTTCTCTTAGTATTTCTGCTTCTAGGCACGCACGGTGTTTCAGCCAATCATCTTCTAGCGAGTTGATGACGGTTAGAACGAATTCCCTGATTACTAAGCCGGCGGCTAACTCCAGAACGACGTTCTCCTCGTCCATATTCGCGCGGATGAAATGACGGAAGGTAATGAATGTTGCGTTTTGACGCTCCATCTCATTCTGGGTTTTTTCGTTCTTCTTTGACCTACGTAAAATGTTGACGGAGAGCGCTAGTTTGCTTTGTGCTTCTTCTGTGTACCGTGGGACAGCGCCTTGCCATAGAACATGCTTGGAAGGGAACCACGCAACACCGTAGCGCTCGACGTAATCTTTTAGCCCTAGACTAATGTGACGTCTCGTCGGAATTCCACGTGAGACCGCCAGCTTAGAGTCACTCCCAGTTTCAGAATAATCCTCGTTAGAATCATCGTCGCTTTTCCCGCGTAGCCTCGAAACCCATATAGATCTGAAATCTTTAGGGTCGCCACCGAGCGAGAGACACGCGATACGCACTATGCTGGCAGCCATAACCGCATTTACTAATTGCTGCTCCATTGGCGTTTGCGATATAGATCCGCTTCTATGCACTGTCTGACTCGCCAGAGCCTTAAGACAGTAGAGCCAACGGTTAAGCTGGTACGTAGTAAAATTATTAGCGTCTGGCGTGGACAACGTCTAAAACGGTTTATGAGCAGTGGTGGATTCTGCCACCGAGGGTACGGTGTTGTTGACCGTAGTCAACATCGTGCCCCTATCTGCCAGCCGTTCTCTGCTTAGGGCAGCAGTCAGAATATCGAGTCGAAAGCGGTATTCTTGTCGGACACTAAAGCTGTACGTTTGAGAACCGTGGAGAGCATCGACAACATGCTTCTTAGAGGCTGTATATCCTTTTCGAAGCAACTCGCGTAGGTTCTGCTGCGCAGTACGTCCGAACCGGTTATTGGCTTTGTACCAATCCTCTAGAGTCTCTTGGGACAACGTTAGGCCCTCAAATAGTCGGTTTTTAAACAAGCTGTGCCCTTTAATAGGTGACGCGAATAATTCTTTGTGTATGTTATACGCCTTTGCATAGGCTATGCCAGCTTGCTTTCGCCACAGGTTTGTTTCTCCTAACTCGACTGATGTAGACCCGGCGTCTCGCGTGAGTGACTAATGGTAGAACGTCGATCGGGTCTTAAAACGATTTGAAGATGCCCCAGGACACGCAAGCTGATCGGCCCAATGATTAAGACACTTTGTCTTTCGTAGTAAAGTGATGCCCGGCTCTAAGGGTGTATCTTCAACCGCTAAGTCGACCCAGCAACTATGAGCTGGAAAGAAGGCGTCGTTGTAGAAGAAGTGTGTTTGTAGGTGTTGTGTGAAGTCGTTTACCGCCTCCGTCAGTGACGGACGCTTTATCGACAGCTTAAGATTATGGCCCGAGACAACTAGAAACAAGCCCTGAAACGAGTCCCGTGGTACTTTAGAGCATCCGGTGTAGTTCCGGGCCGCCTTTTCCACTTCACTCTAGAAAGAAGCCAGGTATTTAGAAGGAATCGTGTACTGCACGTCTATCGCTGCGCTTGTTCCAGACACGAAGTCTTGACGCCTAACCTTAGACTTGTTGTCTGCATCCTGGAAGCTTACTGGGTGGTGTTGGACGACGTCAGGCGGACAGACTAATCTTAAGGAAGGGGCAACTATCCGATCGATCCACTCCTTCTGGAAAACGTCACTGACGTGGACCTCTTCGTTCCAAACGGGCATATTAGGAAAGAAAACATGGCAGTTGTAGAACGTAGAAGAAGATGTTCCTGTTCCCAGTCGTAATTGTCGAGTGCGATGCAGTTTCCTTGACCGTATAAGAACGCGTTGATTCTGTTTGATTGACCGCATGTATGGTGGTCGATAGGCAAGTTTAAACCCCTCGCGGTAAGCAGATAAGCCGTTGATCTCTGCGATGAAACTATCCACGTCCCAAGATCGACCAACTGGTGCGTCGCGTAGTTCCTCTTCCTCGAGTTCGGATTCAAGTAAACTCAAACTTGGCAAAGGGTTCTCTCCTTCCCCGCCGCCCGCTAGTATTTCTTCCCACGGAACTTCGTTGGTCGGGTGTCCGGACGGTTGGGCGGGGATCATTCCGTCGAATTCCAGGGGAAAACAGGTGACACCGGTGTCCAGATTACTGGTTATACGGTTGCGCCAGAAATTCACAAAAGCGCGAAGAGAATACGATCCGTTGAGGGGTCTGTCGCCGGGGGAATCGTCTACAGAACGCGAAACGCTTTAGTATTAGATTGGTAAATATATTATAGCAGCTAATAATATTAGACTCACCACACATGCAGTCCGAGTGTTTTACTCGTTGGATGAGGTCCGTTGCGAGGTCTCGAGCGGCACAATCAGGATCAGGCTCGTCCAAACTTTGCTCGGTGTTTTCAATGAAAGAGATATCATCGGTGTCGTCGTCGCTTGTTTGGGATGAAGTAGACGCAGACGATGAGCTTGGCATGAAGTCTCCATCATTCATAGAATTACCGGCTGCACTTTGCTTTTCCATTATGGGGTGAGCAGCGGACGTCATTGTCAGGGGAGTAATCCCACTCAATAACGAAGAAGTAGAAGAGCCATCAACATCAGATTCGACATCGCCGAAGTGACCATCACCATCGTCAAATTTGCCATCGTTCTGATCACTACTAACTGGAGACGTTGCGTCACCTTGGTAGCACGATCCACCAGTTGGGGCGATGTTGACCCTGGTCAACATAACCTCACTACCCTGCGCAAAGGGCTCGTTCTATTACCAGAGTCAGCGCAAATGCAAAGGAAGAATTTAAGACTAAAATTCAACACAGCAATATCCTTAGATATTCCAGTTATCGTGGTACTCACCTCGTTACCACTATCTCTTTCCAGAAGACTGGACGCTTCTACATCCTCTGCATTCGGGCCATAGGCGCCATGATGTGAACCTTCCGAGGAAACGTTACTCGCTCGAGCTTCGTTCATTTCTGGGCCTGTCTCGCGCGCAGGCGAATAAGACGACGCAACCGAAGGCGAAGTAGATAATCGTAGCAACGTGCTAGCATATGGACCAACTTCAGGTGATACCCTACCATCAGAAATGCCTTGCGTGGGTGAGATTTCTTCGGTGTCTTGCACTTCGGGTGCTGGCGACTGATTTTTCAAGCGGGCTTTTCTCTTTCGTTCCCGATACCGACGCGATCGAGCAGCGGCAGTCGCCCGCTTTTCTTCAATAGTCTTCGGGCCCCTCGGCATACCGGCGATCGGTTTTGATGAAGCGCGGGCGTTCGTGGCCGATAGGTGCACGTTTGATGCAGCTCCAACCTGGCGCTTTGGCGGGTGATGTTGACCGAGGTCAACATAACGCACGTGACCGAAACCACGCTAGCCGTATCGCGTTAGGGCCGTGGACCCTGAAGAATGCGGCGCAATATGCCGGGTCGCTGCGCCGTTCCTCGCCCTAAACCAAACACCGCCGCGATCTGCCACACGCAGCCTACCACCCCTGCGCTTACCCGACAACACACGTTCGCACGCATTTCGCCACCCAAAAATATCGATTCTCGAGGGCTTAGAACCCCGATACCTCACTCAGGTAAGGCTGCATCGCTCTGCGCGATAGAGAACCCGGGGCGAAAGTTTTCGCGCCCAGACTCGCGCTTGACACTGAAGCTGAAGCTAAAATGCGCTAGGCCGGAAGAAGCACCGCCGCCCGCACGGACCACATTTGTAGACCGTAGTCAACATTGCCCGCTCCAGCAAAGATGCCACCCAAGAAGAGCGCCGCTTCGGGTCGCAGCGCGACGTCGAAGAGCACCAAACCCGCCAAAGCGTCGCAGAAGAATTCGATTGGGAATGATGAGGATGACAATGAAGAAACCGCTGCCCCAAAGGCGAAGGCCGCGTCTGGGAAAAAATCGAAGAAGAATTCGGCTGGGAATGATGAGGATGACCATGAAGAAACCGCTGCCCCAAAGGCGAAGGTCACGTCTGGGAAAAAAACGAAGAAGAATGTGGACGAGACTGTCGCTGTCCCGGAGCCTGAGCCTCCCATGGAATTAAAAAGAAAGGCCAGCTCCAATCCGAAGGGCGTCCGAATCGTTCACGCTGTTCGACTCGAAAACAACGGCGCTCTTCTCGCCGGCTATCTCGGCTTTCAACATACCGGTCAACTGAAGGAGTTCTTCGCGGATCCTCGCGTAGACAAGCTGCTTAAGACGTGGGACGAATCTCGTACCGCAAACTATGGTTGCGACTATGCCGTTGTCAAGCAGCAGGGAATCGTTACTATTGACCGCGTTTTCGACATCGTGCGCTTGTCCACTCAGAAGAAGCCCGTCACAGCNGGGCGAAAGTTTTCGCGCCCAGACTCGCGCTTGACACTGAAGCTGAAGCTAAAATGCGCTAGGCCGGAAGAAGCACCGCCGCCCGCACGGACCACATTTGTAGACCGTAGTCAACATTGCCCGCTCCAGCAAAGATGCCACCCAAGAAGAGCGCCGCTTCGGGTCGCAGCGCGACGTCGAAGAGCACCAAACCCGCCAAAGCGTCGCAGAAGAATTCGATTGGGAATGATGAGGATGACAATGAAGAAACCGCTGCCCCAAAGGCGAAGGTCACGTCTGGGAAAAAAACGAAGAAGAATGTGGACGAGACTGTCGCTGTCCCGGAGCCTGAGCCTCCCATGGAATTAAAAAGAAAGGCCAGCTCCAATCCGAAGGGCGTCCGAATCGTTCACGCTGTTCGACTCGAAAACAACGGCGCTCTTCTCGCCGGCTATCTCGGCTTTCAACATACCGGTCAACTGAAGGAGTTCTTCGCGGATCCTCGCGTAGACAAGCTGCTTAAGACGTGGGACGAATCTCGTACCGCAAACTATGGTTGCGACTATGCCGTTGTCAAGCAGCAGGGAATCGTTACTATTGACCGCGTTTTCGACATCGTGCGCTTGTCCACTCAGAAGAAGCCCGTCACAGCAGAGTTCCTCGAGCAGACGACCCTCCCCTTTACAGGGAAATCCTTTGAAGAGGACTTTATGCAGTCCAACGACCCATGCCGAGCCGTTGTCGCCAACCTTATCCCCATGTTTACGCTGATGAGGCTTCACCCCGAGTGCTTCCCCAAGGCCACCGACGACGACGTTGACGGAGCGAACGGCTTTATCGGCGGATACACAGCCGAAAGCTGGTCCCGGGCACTCTGGGCTGTTAGACACTGGAGGAAGTCCAAACAAAAATCGAAGGACGACGATGAAAAGGGTACTTCCAAGGCACAGCGAAAGCAGGCGCTGCTCCCATATTTGCTCACCGACGCCGAGGCCGCAGGTCGTTTCAGCGACGAGGGGCAGGCCGCTATGTTGACTATGGTCAACAACCCGGACATGCTCGCCGAAGAAGCAGAGGACCAGGAGGAACTCGACGCGGCTGCCGCAGAAGAACAGGAGAAAGCCGAGGCACTGCAGGACCTAGGGTCCATCGATCTCTCTTTCTTAGACAACCTGCGGGTCTCCGGCAACCCCATCCCGGACGAGGTTTTGCCTAGGCTACCCGAGCGTACCATCGAAACCTTTCTCCTCTCAATGGGTGCAAAGGCCAAGAAGCAGTTGCTCTGGCCGCCGCCCGAGCACGAAGCACACTCCTTCAATCACACCGACGAGATCGCGGTTGCCAGGCATCAGGCGTCCGCCACAGTCGAACAAACCAAGCATCCCGAGAAAGATGACGAGATGCTGGAGACCGAGGCTTTCTGGGAACTCCAGAGGGCTATAAACAGCGTCAGCAGCGAAGCGCCTGACTTCGCCGAGGCCTGTTCTCTCCTCCAGTTCAACCCGAAAGTCCCGAATGAGTGGAAGGTTGGTTTTCGCCATCTCAAGGACTACCAGGTGCCTGCGGTCGCGTGGGCACTTATCATGCTCACGAGTGGTGGTGGCTGCGGCATCATTGGCGACGATGTCGGTCTCGGCAAGACCGCTGAAGCGGTCTGTACCATGGTCTTACTGCCCACGGTTGGGGAACGTCTTACAAAATCGGCGCCGAAGGACAACCGCACCATCCGCCAGGAAGAAGCCCAAGCTCTGCTGCCTCAACGAGAGGAACAAGCACTGAAGGAAGATCTCCCAGACACCCTCGTTGACGACTTCACCCGCCTGCAGCCCGTCAACACGTTGACGCTGGAGCACCTTCGCGTTCAGGCCCGCCGTTATAAGCCGACCCTCTTGGTCATTCCTAGCGTCGCGCTGCAGGGATGGAGGGCGGAGATGGGCCTTCAGTCGTCCCTTGTCGCCCGTCTCTGGATGGGCGACAAGGCGCGCTCCGATTGGACCGACCTTAAGGAGTTGGTTGATGGCAACGCAGCTGACTTACGTGCGGCTGTCGATGCCTTGGACGCGAACGACCCGAACACCCAACGGCATATCTTCATAACGACGTACCAAACGCTTCGTCTTCGATCCCTACAACACGCCACCGTTGGTAGGACTCCCAAGCGCTCGAGACGCAGGCCCGCCCAGCCCTCCGATTCAGACTCTGAGGACGGCGACGATGAAGACGGCGGAAGGTTGAGCGAAGAGCAAATTCGCAACATGCGCTCACTTCTGCAAGGACTTTTCGGCCTCGTCGTACTTGATGAGGCCCACATGGCAAAAAACGCTAGGTCAAGGACGAATCTCGCTATCCGCCGCCTAAACGCCGAGAAGATCTTGTGTTTGACCGCTACCCCGACCCCGAATCGCCTATACGATTTGAAAGGCCCCCTCACTTTGTTCTGGGAGTGCCTCAAACGTAGCTTCCCCTCGAACCCCCCTAGCAGCGAAACGGATAGCAACTTCGACGCCGGCTCAGACGAAGAAAGTGAGCACGACGAGATTGTCGACCTCGATAAGTACGAGAAGATGACGGGCATGTTGACCAAGGTCAACATGGGCCACTCCCTCCGGCCCTTTCAACAATTTCTCAACCCATCCGCTTACGGTCGCATCATTGGCTCGGCCTCCATCACGAGCAGCAGCATTCAGGTGATGGTCCGACCAATTCTCTCGGCCATAATGCTCCGGCGCGTCAAAGGGCAAGTATTTAAGCGTCAGAACCAATCCACCATCATCGCTGGGACCGTGCCGCCCTTCAAGGTCACCGTTCGAGAGCTTCGCATGAACGCTGAGCAGGCCGCCCTCTACTTAGCCGCACACCGTTCTTTAGTCGATAAGCTCGAAGATAAGGACAAGAAGAAGGCTCGTCAAGACGATGATAAAGCGAGTGGGGTTCTCAACATGCACGCCCACCGCTTTCTTTGTCACGCGGTGTTCGACCCTGTTTTAGACGCCTATAGAAAAAACCCCAAGGAGATAACCGCCGCTAAGCTGGCGACGTACACCTCGAAGGACGACGCTGGGTACTCTCTTTACCACCGGATCACGCGCCCGCGGCCAGGCTATCCACCCCACGACAGCCGTATCCTCCGCGCCAAGCTTATGGCCTCTTCCTCAGTCAAGCTGCAGGACCTGTGCGGCATCATTCAGAATGTTTGCTACGAAGGCGGCCACAAATTGATGGTGTTTGCCGTCTGGCCGGCGGTGTTAACTGAGATTGAGATGTTCTTGACCACCTTAGGCATCCCTTTTTACAGTATCCGCGCCGCCTTTAGCCAACCGCAGAGGCAATCGGCCCTGGCAAAGTTCAACGACCCGGCCGACGAAGTCAAAATTCTCCTCTGCTCTAGCCGCACAGCGTCTACGAGTTTCAACGCGCAAGCTGCATGCCACCACTTGGCTATTCTGGAACTGGACTGGTCCTTAGCCACCATCGATCAGATCATAGGTCGGTTATGGCGAGTGGGGCAGTCAAAGATCGTCGATGTGTACATTCTCGTGGTGGACTTTACCTACGACCAAGTTCTGCAAGCAAGGGCAACTAAAAAAGCCTTAGCCCAGCTAGCCTCGCAGGCGCGAATCAAAGAGAAGCCTGACGACGACGACAACGAGGAGGACGAGAACGAGGACGAGACCGCCGATGACAAGGCGGAAGCAGAGGACAGCACTGAAAATGCTAAGGTGAACCAGTGCATCGAGTACTACACTCGTCTTTATGGTTTCCGCTCTCCGAGGCACGAGTGGGACAACGCTCGTGATCTCGCTGCCAAAGACAACCTGGAAACCGAAAAGGGTTTCTGCATGAAAGGTAAGTTGCTTCCGACATTCCCGCCTATGTTGACCATGGTCAACATCCCTTGCCCACTACAGCAACCCCAAGCATTTAAACTCCAATACACGTTTTACTAACCACATGACATATAGGCCGTCCTAATATCCTTACGCGTTACCGGCCTCAGCTTCCTCTTAGTGGCCTCTCGAACTCGTTCGCCACCCCCGAGTACGGCAACAAGCAGGCAACCCTGGACCGTTTCGTGTCCAAGAAGACCACCGCAGCATCTGCGACGGAGAATGAGAAGAGTCACGATACCACCGAGGCTACCTTAGCCGATGATCCCATCTTGGGTTAGTGATTGTCCATCTATGTTGACTATGGTCAACATAGCTGCAGTACTTTGTTGTAGGCATATTCGCTGACAACTGCTTAGATGACGACAATAACCCGGGCCCGGCCACCACGTTCTCCGCTCCTCCACCACGTCCAGCTCAGCCTGCGAAGAAACTTCCTGCGAAGAAACAGCCTGGCGAGTCTAGGTTTATTGCACAGTACGCCAAGGAAAAAGAGGAGAAGGAGAAAGAGGAGAAGGCGAAGAAGGAGTCGTCGAAGCCCTCAGGGCCGCGCAAGACGTCGGGTCGACAAGGCAAGAAAGGTCGCGGTATGTTCGGCCGCCCCGCCTTTCGCCTTGGAGAACGTGCTCGCAACGGCTCAATTATACCATCCGACGGACGTTCACTCGTTAGAAATTACTCAACTAACAAGCTTGTGCCGATAGACAACGACGGCAACCCTTCACAGGAGAGCGACGCCGACGAGCCCTCGCCGCTTCGGCGCTCTAGTCGAGGCAAGGCCTCCTCGCAAGAGTCGCTAGTTTCTACTGCACCTGCCAAGCGGAAGAGGCAGCATGAGGATTTCGGCGCGGACGCTCCAGACTCACCTCGCCCGAAGCGCCAACGTGGCAAGCCTGCGGCCACGGATGCAAAGAAAACCAGCGCTAAGGCTTCAGTGGATGACGACGCTAAGAAAAAGGCGAACCGCGACCGCGCAGTTAAGTCTGCTAATACTCGGAAGGCCAACAAGGCTAAGGAGAAGGAGGAAGCTGAGAAAAGCCTTCCTCAGCCACCTACCCCCTCCGATATCACGGCTACGGAGGTTGAACGAATGGACGCGGAACTTAACTCGATCTCGGACTAAAAGAAGAATTACAATAATGGACTATTAAAAAGAGTTAATGGGCTTTCGATAATAATAGGTTTTCTTTTTAGCGATGAAGGAAAAACAAAAAAAAAGAGGGCTACGTAGTCTGAAAATAGAAAAATC